TCTATGAGAAATCTATTACAGATTTATCACCCAGTTAGTACCTTTACTTTCGACTAAAAAGTCGTTGAAATTTAATATAAATTCAATAAAAATTTAATTAAACATCAATTAATTGTTTTTGATGTCCCGGATCGTGTTCTACTTTATCATTATGCAAACAACGTCAGCATATTACATTTTATAGTTAAAGCATTTATTCTTTTAATAACGATTGTCCAACGGTTTACGCTACGCAATAAAGCTCAAACACAAACGTTACTTTACTGAAAGTACAATTAATCTGGCGAACAACTGAATCGATTCCAGCGATCGCATTGCATTAAACATCGCTGTATCGTAAACAACAATGATTTACATTCTCGATGGACGCTCTGTCCTGAACACGCATTAAAGTTTGTTATGTTACTTGCGATGCGTGCTCTAGTGCTCTAGTGCTCTGCAACAATGTTGGCCTTCACTGTCATTTCAATTATATTCTTCTGAAATATCAGATAAAACACGCCATGTAATTGTAGTCTTTTATTTATTCCTAGTTCTTTTATTTATTCTCAGCCCAGTTGGCAGAGCGACGATACGGTACGGCGTGGTCGCAGGTTCAAGTCCTGTCGGATCGAAGAAATTGTTCTTTGTGTTCATCGTTGTATTAATAACTAATTATATTTTAGTTATTGAACAAATATGTAGTGTCTCCATTCACAAGACGTTCTTCGATGTCAGAGACAAATGCAAATGGCAAATTTACATTATCTTAAATCACTACATTTTATAAAACAGAAAAATAAGCCATCGCTTTTCTTGCAGGTGGTAAACAGCGGCGGAACTGCTACCATCAACTGCACATGGAGCGGGTACCCAGCGCCTCGGCTAGAATGGCTCCACAACGGGATTCCTCTCGGCGCAGGAGTCGTGGGGGGAAGAGTACGGGTGAGCAGCAGCGGGGAGCAGCTGGTCATATCCGACGTGCACAGGGTCGATAAGGGCGTGTACCAGTGCATGGCTAGGAACGAGAAGGACAGTGCGCAGGCCAGTGCTGAGCTCAGATTGGGAGGTGAGATCCTCACAGGGTCGAGTTATGTGCGATATTAAAGTTATAATACGCAGTATCAAATGGTCCAGATTCGATCTTGGTGTTACTCGCATATTACAGAAAAAAAAAATCGAATTTTCACGCCTAATCGTTTTTTGAATAAAAAAAAACAAGAACGAAAATAAATAAAAATCTGATTTATGTTATTCTCAATGAAAATAGGGGCCATTATTCAAGAGTTATCGTAAATTTAATCGGACGAAAGCCGAATCGGAAAACACAATCAATCACGAACACAAAACAAAAAATAACCAAATTGCCTCCGACAGGCGAAAAATGCTGCGGTTAAAATATCTACTGACACTTTCAATGAAAGTAAATAACTATTATAACAAAAGTGCGTGGTATTGATAATAAATTTTTAAATCCAAATAGTGGTCAAGGCCGATTTTTCTTTTCCAGATACGGCACCAGAGCTTCAATACACATTCATCGAGCAAGTGCTGCGACCTGGGCAAGTAGTTACCCTTAAATGCTCCGCCGCTGGCTCTCCCCCGCCTCACTTCACCTGGCTCCTAGATGGTCAACCACTCAACACTATGAATACTAGGGGACACAGGTAATTCGATTTCTAATAACTAGACAGTCGCGCTTATCGACACGTTGCATTAAGCCGGTAGAAAAAGCTTATGTTTATGTTTTAATCTATATGTACCAATGCAATGTGTGTAACAAGAACGAAAAAGACTTCGTTTCGCATCAGCTCGTACGAACGCGGCTCGAAACAGGTCAGCAGCAAGTTTACTACCTGAAAATATCCGATTGCGTCCGTACACAACAGACGACAGCTGATCAGCCGGATCAACAACGGAACGGTAGCGCCAACGTCCGAGTGGCCGCAACGACGATCGAACGACTCAGAAGGTGAGATACGACGCGATGGCTGCACGACGAACGAACGGCTGGACGCCCTTACGGCCACGTCGACGGAGAATATGCAACAAATGTTTTAAAACATGGTCACCTCAAGTCGATTCCATATCAATAAGTATAGTGACTCCCTTAAACTATATACTGCTAATTGATCTGTACGAGTTCCATGATACATAGGGCGCACTATAAGTTTCCGGAACTGGCCACTTACATAAACAATATTTAAAAAGTTTAAAATTACAACTCTGAAAACAAATTTGAAAATGGAACTTAAGTGCAATATAACAGCTCAGTGGAGCTTCGCTCGGCTTCAACCTGCTTTTGGCGATAAACCACCATGCAAGACGACTATTTATAGCTGGTTTGCAGAATTCAAACGCGGTCGTGTGAATCTCAGTGACGAAATTCGTGATGGTCGCCCGTCCACTGCTGTGAACAACAAAAACATCGATGCTGTGCGCCGTACGATGACAGACAGGCACGTGACATACCATGAGATTCGGGCGTCTTTAGGCATAGGCATGAGTTAAATACAATCAATACTACACAAACATTTAGGTGTGAAAAAGCTGTGCTCTCGGTGGATCCCACACAATTTGACTGAGGCTCAAAAAACGGATCACGTCACTTGGTGCAATGCCATGCTTACCAGATTCAACGAAGGGGCGTCAAATTTGGTGTGGGACATAGTAACAGGTGACGAAACATGGATATATAGTTACGATCCCAAAACAAAGCAGCAATCGAGCGAGATGAGCCGAAACCAACCAAAGTGGCGCGCGTGCAATGTGCCTCTAGGTGGATGATTGCTTCTTTTTTTATTAAAACTGGACACGTGACTACTGTTGCTTTGAAGAATCGTTGTACCGTGAATAGTGATTGGTACATGACCATTACTTTGCCGGAAGTTATTGACAAACTTCGTAAAAATAACGCAACGTAAACGCCGTATCATCTTGCACCACGATAATGTCAATTCAGACACGGCCAGACAGACAAATGAATTTTCGAAGGTGAACAACGTTGACCTTATGAGCCATCCCGCGTACAATCCCGACCTGGCACCTTGTGACTTTTATTTATTTCCAAAAATTAAGAACCAGTTACACGGTCGACGAACTTCATCACCAGAAGAGGCTACGAAGAGTATGAAAAATATGTTTCAGAGATTGTCACGGAGGAGTGGCATAAATGTTTTCAAAATTTATTCATTCGTATGAAAAAGTGCATTAACGTTAACGGAGAATATTGAGAAACAATAAATTCATTTCTGATAATTTATAGTATTTTTTTCTTATTCACTCCGGAAACTTATAGTGCGCCTGACGTAGGTACCAATTACCGTCTTGAAAAGTAGCCATTTTGTCAACAGATATAGCATCGAACAGTTCGTAACAAAAAACAAAGATGTGGTGAGCTTCCTAAACATTACATCCGTGAGTTCTGAAGATGGCGGTCTCTATACCTGCAGAGCGACCAACTCCCTTGGAGAAGTGTCCCATACTTCTCGTCTTAATATTTATGGTAAGTCAATTTCACCATGTAGCACAAACAAATTACCTAATTCAAATGTATTATTAAAATGTAACAGTACTTCGAAAATAACTACACGAATAAAAATTGACGTGTTTCCTCCAGGACCTCCGTACGTGAGACCTATTGGACCAATCAGAGCTGTGGCTGGTCGCGAACTGGTCCTGTATTGTCCTTACTCCGGTTATCCAGTAAGGTAAGTTGAAGCTAGCTATGTCAATACAACGATTTTTGGTACAAATTCAAATGGAAAATTGGCTCTTACAATGAATCAACAGGTCAATCATCAATCAATCCATGACATCATTGTCTATTATCCCCTAGTTCAGTGAAATGGGAGCGCAACGGCAGCCCAGTAGAATGGGAGAGCAATAGTGACGGAGCTCTCAGGGTGACCAGGGTAGAGCCATCTCACGCGGGCGCGTACACTTGCGTTGTTATGGGCCCTCACGGAGAGATGGCTAAGAAAGAACTACAACTCTTTGTAAGCAGTAAGTATTGCTGTCCCTTTATCACTGATATGTCGAATTTGAGCGCCAGGTCGAAATTGAGTATTTAATAATTAGCGTTCAAAGATTCAAGACAGAAATTCTTGTGTGTAGTTTACAAAAACTAAGTTAGGCACCTAATCTTTGAAAAATCATTGCCATAAATTGATATTGCCAAAAACCGTTTTGTGGTTCACAGAGAATAAAGGATGCAGGGCTATGCGCAATTAAATATTTGAAGCGGTTTTTTGCTACTGGAGCAAATGAAAGTAATTCGAGCAAAAAGTTAATAAAAAATTTAAAGAGCGCAAACCCGGGGCCGTTAATTAAAATGCGGATAGCGGCTCTGAACATTAACAAGTACGGCCTCTAAAACTGAAAACAGCGGAAGTATAATTTAGGCTGTTTGTGTTTTCTTAACGGTCCGTTTGCGGATATTTTACGTTACTTTATAGTTTGCTTATTGTTGGAGGAACCATCAAAAATTTTGGATCCTCTGAAAATTTCATTAAGTACAAAAAAGGTGCTCACAGTTATCTAGCTAAAATAATAATAATAATAACGCACACACTCAACATAGCCCCGCATTAGGGAAACCCTGTGTCGCGGGTGCCATGGACACACACTTAGACAAACACAAATCACACCCAAACTCACGAGAGAAATAAACGTAGGCCATACAAATATTTCTCCCGGCCCGGGAATCGAACCTGGGACCTCTGCGTGGCAGTCCGACAAGGTAACCGTTCGGCCACGGAGACAGTTTATTGCATAAATGTATTTTTTCAGATCCACCAGAAATTGAGCCGTTCTCGTTCTCGGCCAATTTGCAAGAGGGGAAGAGAGCACAGGTTAGCTGCAGCGTCATCTCTGGAGACATGCCAGTCCACTTTACCTGGCTAAAGGACAACCAACCCATACCGTCTTCGTTACAGGTATCATTTAAATTCTCAGTTGTAAAATATTCTGTTCGTCGTTGAGAAATCTCTTTACAACATTTGTGCCTTTAATAATGACAGAACAATGCAGTTTTGTTTTGCAACGTCAAAGAGAAAGTATGAGGTATCTTCAACAATCATGACTGTGTAGGTGGAAGAGCGAGGTGCTGATTTTTTCAGCAACCTCGTATTCAAAGAGGTGTCGGCACATCACAGTGGGATGTACACTTGCGTTGCCTCCAACAGCGCAGCCAAAGTTAACTATACCGCCCAACTGGTAGTCAAAGGTACTCCTAAAATTGGACTTTATGCACCAGCACCAAAGCACCTTCATCTATTACTTGCACCGAGCGTTTCGAGCACTAAGTCAGCACCAAGTCTAGTTTAAGTCAGTATTTTTGATTGGCACAAAGCTTTTAGGTTAGCATATTGTGTGGAAATCGATTTGTAAAAACGGACACAAATGACATGCACCACCATATTAAAAACACTTTGCGTAGGTACTCACGTATCGTAAATGTCTGACTTCGTAATGGGAATATTACCTACATTAAACCTGTCGCTACAATTTAACCGAAACATACAGCATTCATTCGGTTAACTGACCGGCAAATTCAATTAATTACTAATCGATTCATTATCACAAATTCATTGTGCTTTTTCTCGCGTCACCAGACAATTTTAAAATGGAAATTATGTTCTTTGTTTCGCTCAGCAATGGATTACAGATGGCTAATGGAAAGGGTAAATTAAAATTTCTATTGATAAGATCACCGATAAGACTGGACAAATCCAAGACCAACATTTTGTAGACCATATTTCAAAAACTAAAGTAACACCTATGTTATTTGGAAAAATGTTATAAAATCGACTAATAGAACATAATACATTATTCTTACTCTTTAATGAAAATGTCATTGTACAGATACCCGTTAATTAGCTGCTGATGAGAGGTAAGATTTATATAATTACAATGCATTTGCTCCAATCTTCGTCGTTAGCCTCTTCATTTCTGATAATATTATTTAAAAGTCATTGTAAAATCATAATTATTTTGTCCCTTATTAATTGCTCCTTTTTTCAGTTTTTTTTTCTTTTAGTAATGTAAAAGGCAACCTACCTTGCCATTCTTTCACACTACGTTAATAACATCAACAACATATTTACACGCTGCAGTTTCCCCGAAGTGGGTCATAGAACCGAAGAACGAAGCCGTGCTTGCTGGAGAGTCTGTTGCTCTACATTGCCAGACCACGGGGTCACCCACGCCCCAGGTCACTTGGTTGAAACAGAGAGGTAACTACGAATCTGGTGAACGCTATGAATAAATAAAGCAAAAATTGTCGATTTCTACATCTATTCAAAAAATGTTTTTCCAGGTTCAGGGTCTGCAGATTTTATTCCCCTAGTGAACCTTGGCGGACGTTTCCAGTTCTTCTCGAATGGAACTTTATGGATAGAGTCCGCACTACCATACGATGAAGGGCACTACATGTGCAAAGCTGAGAACGGAGTGGGCTCACCACTTTCGAACAGTATTTTCGTCGCTGTGCATGGTAATAAGGCTCTATTAATTACCAACAAGTTAGTAGTCAAATAATCATATAACCGTAGTAATGCGTTATAAATGTTATTGTTTAATATTTTACAGAACCAGCGCGTTTCGAGTTGACGTCGCACAACACGACGGCACGACGGGACGCGTCCGTGACACTAGTGTGTGACGTACGGGGTGACAGCCCCATCCGCGTGCAGTGGTCGCATAATATGAACCAGCTAGATCTTAATACTTATAGGTAGGTTTATAGTAACGCAAATACTATGGGCTCTGACACAGTTTTGGCATATTTACACCGTATTATATTGGTGTGATGTAACGACTGATCTTCGACGTGATAGTATTTTATATGTGATGCAACGTCTTGCTCGCCGTGTTAATGATATGTTACGTGTTAATGATTTTCAGGTTAAGCATTTCCGAAGCAAAGACTGATAGTGGTTTAAGGTCCCAGTTATACATCAGCAGAGTCGACAGACAGGACTCTGGTGTTTACAAGTGCCAAGCTGTCAATGCTTATGGTCATAGCGACCATTACATTTACTTATCCGTCCAAGGTGAGATTTTGATTTCCCTTTTTTTTATAATACCAAGTGACGAGACGAACAAGTCGTGCACCTGGTGGTAAGCGACACGTCTACCCATAATAGTTGCAGTACAACACTGTACTTTGAATCGCAAAGATGCTATGGGCGCTGCCAATGCGCTCGTCAAGCTGAGGCATAGTTGAAATGTCCCATGCGCCTGACTGTAGGAATAGATAGGGTGGCACTACATCTCAGGACAAACTTTTTCACAAGGAGCTCTACTTTATACTTTATCTACTAATTTCAGTAGCATACGTGTCGTTGACACTTTGGTGAATTAAATATTCGAAACTTTCAGAGAAACCCGATTCGCCGCACTCCCTAACGGTCACTGAAATTTTGTCCCGAGCCGTGCGACTGTCGTGGAGCCAGGGTTTCGACGGCAACTCGCCGCTGGTGGGCTACACGGTACAATACGCGACTCTGTCCGCCCAGGGCGCCATCCGCTTCAACCAGTGGGACTCCGCGCACAGTTTGAACGTGTCCGTCCATGGCGCTGGCGCTACACAATCTTATATCACGTAAGTTCAAATGTTATCAGTCGCCTAATATATAAATTCGACATAACTTTTTATCATATGAAATTGTCAAATCGATTAAACAATATTATTACTCAATCGTAAAGCAAATTCCTCTGACTCGTATGTAGTTGCTCTTTGTAAGCAAAAATTTGTTCCCATTTATAATATTCACTTTAAAATGCCATAGGTATACTCAAAGAATAATAAATACAGTATAAGTGCTTAGTGGGTGTGACACGCGTGGCAACAGTACGCGGAGTTCCACATACTTGAGCACTGTCCGCCATTTTCGGTTTGTACGTTATGGTTATATCAATTATCGCATAACCTCGAATATCGTGGAAAAAAAACATTAATTTGCTACTTTGGAGTGCAAAAATAATAGTCGCGTTGTAGTATTCTCTATCTATGGTGGTGTTTCATATTATCTTAAACCTTATTTTATTTAATTTCAATAAATTTCCCCTTTTCGGTTTATCTTAATAGATTTTTTATTATAAGAAACGAAAGTAAACCTTATACCGGTGCAATATGGCCGTTTCTTTTCTTTTTTTTTTGAGAACGTTAATTGTTCGTGCTCTCATAGTCTTTCAGCTGTTGCTAGATAGCAGCAATTTCATTCAATTTCAGATATTGAAATTTTAGGTATTGAACTTTCAACGATATGCCAACTGAGCAAAGTTTAAATTATATAATTAGAAACTACTACCGATCATTATCAAGATTTCATAGTGTTCAATTATGATTGTGTAGTTTGGGCGACAGCGGTTTGGATAGTAATGGATGCTTAAGACACTTCTATTGCTGTTTTTTTCTGTGGGTGTACCTAAATATAGATTCCTAGATTCGTAAATAAATATAGAATCTAATATAGAATCGTAGATTTTTGTCATCCAAGTAAGCAGAAGTTATATATCAATTTATTGAAACCTTTTATTTGAATTTGACCTCGTTAATGCAAACAGACTGACGAAGAAAGGTGACATCCACTACGAGGCGTTGTTGAGCAATCTTAAACCTCACACCGCGTACATGATCCGCATAGCCGCTATCAACCAGCTCGATAGGAGCTTATTCACTGAACCTGTTGTCGTGAAAACACAGGAAGAAGGTAATCTAACTTTAATTAACTTTGTATCTTCGTTTACGTGCAACTTATAATAAAGCCGATCCCATAATGTTCGAGCTTATTTGTCGTCTGGTCCTCCTTCCTATAGCCCTATCCACAATATCGGTTATAGGAGCAGAACTTTATGATGCATGCCGTACTTTGTCGGAAGCGCCTCCCGGACCCGTGGTAAGTAGTCCTTTTTCTGGGGTGTGTAGGCAATGATGTAGGTCTCTGCATTGCCGCTTTCGTTATCAGTGTCCTCAGTGTCCTGTCGATTGCAGCTCCGTCCGAAGCGCCCACCAACGTGCACGTGACCCCCGGCGGGCCGGGCGAGCTGCACGTGTCGTGGCGCCCGCCGCCGCGCGAGGCGTGGCACGGCGAGCTTCTGGGGTACTCAGTCACATGTACTGAGTTTGGCCCTGGTGGGATTCCTGTACATAATAGTTCTAGGTGAGATTTAAGCTGACTTTCGCATTGTATCTAAACTATTAAACATTTTGGGACAATTTTGGGACATCCTCTTCGTATTGATCACTAAAGTTTGTTTTTAAAAGTTTTCAACGTCTTATTTCAGTTTCGATTCCTTTACCCATTTCCAGGACTCTGACCGTGAATGGCTGGTCAGCGACAGAGCTCAGTTTATCAGCTCTGAGAAAATTCACACGCTACGAGGTGCGCGTGAGAGCTTTCAACGGTGTTGCCGCAGGACCCGCTTCTACTCCTGTCTCCGCTACCACTTTGGAAGGAGGTAGGTTGTTTTCCTCTTTTCTTTCTGGTTCACTTGACTCCTTACACTTACTAGAGGTTATTTTGTCAGTGCTTACACTAATATTTTTTTTCAGTGCCAGAATCTCATCCAACGAGGGTAACGTGTTCAGCTCTCTCGTCTTCCAGCATGAAGGTAACGTGGAACCCTCCTCCCCTTGGCCAGCACGGCGGCATCATACAGGGTTACAAAGTTATTTATACGCCGCTCACCAGCGATCATGGTGAGTGGATATTTCCTTTATTGTAAATATTAGTCATTTTTTCATCATATAAGTGTATCATATGTATTTTTTTATTTGCACACGCAGATGTGGGGGAGATTAAACGAGTAACCACAACAGACACTTACCTTCACGCTCTGAGGAAATACACCAATTACTCCATTCAGGTTCTGGCTTTCACGAACGCTGGCGACGGCAAACGAAGTCCACCTGTTTATTGCATGACTGAGGAAGATGGTATTCATGCACAAATTTATAAAGAGTTACATTATTCTTTCAAATTGCGTTTTATATTACATAGAACTTGTTAATCTTGTTACAGTGCCCTCGCAACCTCAAAAAATAAAAGCGTTGGCGTTTTCCAGCGATTCTGTTCTTGTAAGCTGGTTACCGCCCTTGTATCCCAACGGGATCATATCCCATTATACTGTATACTTTAGGGAAGCGGGACGGTAAGATATTAAACGAAATAATTCATCGTGTATTTTGGTAAAGGTGTTTACTGAGTTTCGATTTCTAATTTCAGATTAGGTAAACATTCCAGTTTCACAGTGTCTGCAGACAAGAAAACAGATATTGAACTGATGTTTCAAGTTCGAAACCTTCTAGAAAGTCAATTGTACGAGTTTTGGGTGTCGGCCACGACGGGCTCTGGAGAAGGGGAGTCCACTCCTGTAGTGGGTCAAGGACCAAATGCTAGAAGTAAGTACGCACTTCTCATGGTCTCAAGGAGAAATGAGATGTATTAAGTCTCTTAGGTTTTTGGTTTAACTCAACTTTTGTATTTTTAGTACCAGCACGCATAGCTTCATTTGGAGGATTAATAGCGGTTGGTGTTGGACAGCCAGCTTTGCTAACATGCACTTGCGTTGGTGCACCGGCCCCCAGGTCGCGGTGGACGCACGGAAGAACGCCTGTAACACATCATGCATATTATCAAGTCACGCATAGAGGACATTTACATATTCGAGGTACCTACACTTCATAAAGACAGAGCATGTAATTCAAACAAATTGTATAACTTGTTATACGAATTCCCACAAGAAAGAATTTAATTGATTGATCTTTTTAGCCTATTTTGGATTAATTTATTTACCCATAATTGCAGAAGTAAACGAGCAATCGTCAGGCAATTTTACCTGCACAGCAAGCAATACGATCGGCGAAGATTCGATAGTCTACGTGGTGTCAGCAATATTACCTCCAGCTGCGCCTGCGCTGTCTTTGCAGTACACTACTGCTTCGAGCATTAAACTGCATTGGCAGTTGGCAGCTACTGATGTCAATGAACCTATTTTAGGTAAAATTTTAAGTACATAGAATAATATTTATTTAGGCAGAGACAATAAATCTCTACTCGCTACGTTCTGAGATAACTTTTTCGCCTTTTCCACTAGCATCACTCTCTTCATACATGTCCGTCTATTCAACCTGGCCTTTTTAAGGACAATATTTTTAATAGAAAATTGTATACAATAACAAGTGACTACTTACGTTTAAGTAGCAATAATGTTATTTCTAGGATATCTCCTGCACTATAAACAAGCATCAGAGCCAGATTGGCACACGGCAGAACTTTCTAACGAAATGACTTCCTACACAATGGACATGCTCAAATGTGGCACCACGTACAAAGCCAAAATACAAGCACGGAACAAAATTTCCATCGGGCCTCCTAGCGAAGTTCTTACAGCTACAACAAGAGGAGGCCGTGAGTTTTGAATTTTATTATATTTATGAGTATTTTTCCTACTTCTTCACATCTTTTACATTAAAATTATAATATTATAATTTCTCAGGCCCTAAGCCACCCAAAGCAGAAGAGCACGTATACATGAACACAACGGCAATAAAGATCAACTTCTACGCATGGCGTGATGGAGGCTGCCCTATTCTTGGCTTTCGAGTGTCATATAGACGCGCTGGATCTGAACATTGGATTAAAGTAAGACACCCTTTCAAAGATAACTGAAATTGGTACAGGAATTAGTTGCCCAGTTCCGAATTCCGAAAAGGAATAAGTTCCTAGACAGGCGTTCGGATGCAGAGCTAAAATGGAGCTGGACAAAATTAAATAAGATTAATGACAGACGTAGTACTACAGTAACCGAATGATGACGAAGACATAAACGCGAGACGTCCGGTAGCAAGATGGGTGTACGACATCGTCAAAGTCGTGGGCCATGAATGAGACCAGTGCAAGAGTGTGGCCCATGGCTTAAATCACGGGAGACCTATACCCATCAATAGGTGAAATTGGGGTGTGCACAGAAATGGGCAAGAGCCTGAGTTTTAAGTTTCTAACCCGGCGCTTTGTTAATGCCGGATTAAATCGGGTTAAAACCCATTAATGTCCGCACAGATATATATATCTGTATCACTAAATAGGCGCCGTAAGTGTACCTACTTCGCGTGCCCAATGTAAGCTACAATAAACACTTAGTTGCCGCTGCTCTGCTACGCTTCAGATGGCCAGGCGCGTTAACGTCGTAGATGTCTCAGTCGAATGAAAACGCCAAAAATAGCTACAGACCTATTTTATGCCATTAGAAACTGCAAAACACCACAGTTATGACTAGATGAGTAAACAGAGACTCCTTCCACAGTTAGGTAATTTTGTAATCAGAATAATATGCATAATTTATTTTAAAATCTTTCAATTTATTTTCATTTTGAATGAATTTCGAGAAAACAAATACGTGGACGCGTGTATGCCGCATATTTCGTAATACATTGCGGCTTTTACTTGGTAAGATACATGTGTGGTCCTGTGTTTAGTAGGCTATGAATATCGAACGAGAGATACTTTCTTACATGCATTTAGTTTCGTGGTACCGCCGCTTCGTTAGGTTTTGCTGGTTTTGCTGTCAAATTTTATGATTAGTGATGTTCACTTGATCCACAGTTCTCGATTTTGATCGATTTAGGAAACAAAGGAATGATAATTCTTAAGACATTAAAAAATGTTATAAAAATATTCTTGAAAGTTTGTTGTTGTTTTTTTTTTAATTTCTGGAGCAACTTTTTTTCAAAACATATATTAACAAATCAATCGCTTTAGTACCGAGGTGGTTTCCCTTCACTAAATAGCGCTTGTGACATGTCATTGGAGGTACAAAAAAGTGACACGCTAGGTTTTCATACACATCGCGGTACTTGCAATGACTAATTTAGATATTTGTCTGTGAATGTTCGAAATCTAGGGCAAAAACTATTGACAAGTAAATGTTTGTTGTGAATCAAATTTTTTTCAAACTTAATGATATTAATACAAAATTTTTATTGCTTTTTTATCTGGACTGCCTTCTTGAAAATCGCATTGAAATTAATCGATACAAAAAAATCGTTAGATCGCATGCAATTATATTCATCTTCATAAAAATCGAACCGTAATGTGTATCATTCTAGTGAGAATCCACAGGATTGCAAGGTGGGTATTATGTGGATATGCCTCTTTTACGTCTATGAAAGATTTTTTACATCGAAATTTGTTATAAGTATGGCATTATACTAAGTCAAAGGCAAAGTCAAAGATTACTCCATAGGTAAAATAAATTTACACTTGAAAACGTCACATTTAAGCTACTGCTCGTTCACTACGCTGATCTCCCTGAGAAGACCGAGCGAGAAACTCTAGGGATTGCTCTTTCCAAATAAACTTAAATGCTATGGAATACACTTTGAATCAAATTTGTGTGGATTCTGGAGCCGTGTCGTCTTTCCATACATCTTTATCTAACACGTAGTCTTCTATTTTGTAATATAATTTTTCGATCAAAATATTTTTAATGTAGTTTTTAAACGTAGGAAATGACAAAATTTAATATATGCTCCGGAATCTTATTGTTAAAACGTATACAGTTCCCCATGAAAGAGTTGTTTACCTTGGTTAAACTCCGTATTAAATTCCGTACTCGCTATTTGTAGTAAATCTTTGGGTAAAAATCCGATTAACACCCGAACAAGTTGATTGTGTGCTCACCTACTGCGCATCCCTGGCTGTGGATGACAATGATCATGTAAATCAATCCTTATGTTCCAGAAAAATTATGATGATTCAATAATTTGCACTTCAGGTGGGCGACAACCTTAGCTCGGCCAGCCATGTCCTTGGAGATTTGACACCTGGTACGTGGTACGAGTTGGCGATAGAAGCAAGCAGTGACGCGGGAATCGAACGAGTCACTTTGTTTGCTGACACACACACTTTGACTGGAGGTAAGACTTACAGGGAATGCTATATTCATTGAAATTTAAAATAGAAAACAGCAATTGTAACCAATTTTCCCATGTTTACTTCCAGCACGTATTCCTCCACTGAAACCGTCGTCTCCGATTGCGGGTAGCGTCCGTCAGACGTCGCTCCGCACCGTCTTACTGTCGTGCATTGCCAGTGCCGTAGTCGTCTTGTGTGCACTTGCCGCTGTTATTTGCCTCGTTCAGCACAAGAGAAAGTAATTACTATACTCTGAATTAGTTTTATGTAGTCTTTCTAATTGGATTTTTAGTAAAATATAGGCACCAAGTCGTCGAGAAGAAGAGAAGAAGGGTCGAGAGAATTTAAAGCAAGTGTTTAAGTGTAAGTTTTCTTAAAAAACAACCAAAACTCACTCTAAGTCAACAACAGGAAAAATATAATGGCAACTCTATTTCAGATTTTTTTGCATTTCAAACGATCACTACATGCGAGATGACAGGAAACTAAGCGAAAGCAACGAAGCAGAGCGAGAGAAGCTCCGTGAAGGACAGAAACTCTACTCGTCTTCTTCAATTAACGGAAATGAAAAATCTAACGATGACTCTTCAGGTAAGAATTTCACATATTATTAGCAAGGTTTTATTTACGCGTTTTTTCAGAATCTGTAATGGTAGCTAGTTAATTGACTATTCGTATAACTTCTGGCGTTACAGCAGAACTTTACGAAATCAGCCCATACGCGACTTTTGGCGTATCAGCGGCGCATTCGCTGCAGTTCCGCACGCTGGCGCGCCGCGACGACGACGCCGCCGCGCCGCCGCACCGGCGACGGCATCGCGCTTGCGAGCATTATCGATACGGTAACATCTGCGGCGTTCGACCGTTTATTTTCAACCTCAGTAGTAAGTTCAACAGCCAGCATATCTCGAATGGCCGTAAACGTTTAAAGCTAAGTTTGAAAGTCGATAAAAGGACTTAAGTATTGCCATAAAACCACACGAAGCGTAGACGAACCAATTGGCATAACTAAACAAAAAGGAGAAGCTAACGACCGTTGAGGTAGCGCTTGCGAGCTGCGACGTTGCGCTTTGCACCGACAGACGAATCGAGCCTGTCTAAATGCTCGACAGTGGAGGCGCGGCACCGTCTGCGCGCGGCGAGCGCGGGCACCGCCAGCGGGGCCGCCACGCCCGCCGGCTGGCGCGACGCGCACACCGACTCTGACGATAACAGCGACAGCGCTGCTAACACCACCACCAAAGGTACCACCGCGGCCGCGGCTGCAGCACGCTTTTCCATCGACTGTCGAGTCGGTACAATTCTGATGATGCTGCGATTGCGTCTTATATTTATTGACAATGCCGCGCGTACGCACTTACGGCATCATGTTAATTCTCTGCGCTATTGTCGTAACAGGCTCGGGCGAGTCGCCGGGCAGCGTGTACGGCAGCGGGCGACGCAGCGCGCGCACCACCAGCAGGTAGAACTCAGGTACCTCCCCGCATACTCCCGCACCCATCACTCACAGCGTCACTGCTATAATACTTCACCATCATACGTTTCACCCATCACTTCACTTGCACTACGCCTTAAGTATCGCGTCGTTAACATAAAATTCTTTTGTAGCATTGCAGCATTGCTTTTATTAGATACTGCTGATAAATTCCGAACAAAATTTAAAGTCAACCTAGTTTTCATCCGATATTAGTAATTTTAATAATATTATTAATAGAATTAAGCAAGTGCTCTTGCTTAATTCTTAAGAATCGGTTTCTTTATTCTTCAAGTTTTATTTATTCTATCTAGCATTCCACTCATAAAATGTTTTCAACCATTATTACTTTCCTGGTTATGCATAGGTACTACCTACACGAGTCAAATGAAAATTTAGGAACTTTGTATCCTAATAAAATGCATTCTCTACACAGTGCTTAAACAAAAGCAATTGCACCTACCGTGCTTTCCCACAACCATGAATAATTTATAAATCCAAACATTGGTTTATTTAAATAGATGAATAAGTATTTTCTTTTTTCAGTGGAGGCCCTAATGGGAGCGACGGCCTCTCAGGGAGCTTCGCCCCAGTCCCCGCCGATATATCTTCTCTAATCGACAAGTAAGTACGATTTAAATATATTTGTAGTCAAATAATACTTATACTTAATTTATTTTCAATGTTTTTATCCGTTTCTTTCCAGATACCAACAAAGGAAGGAACAGGAACGTCGAGAATGCACAATACACGTCTAGCATTCAGTGTTATAAAAATTATCCAAAAAGGTCTTCCTTGCCTTAATAATGCACGTTTTCCGTGCGGATTTTTTAGTACCAGTTTCTAAGATTGGACTCAAATTTTTCTCAAAAACGATAACGGTTTCTAAAACTGACGCCACTAGTTGTAATATATGTATGTCCCATAATGGTTTTTGAAAGGGCTTAAAGTTTGTGATTACGTCACATGATGACAAAAAGTAACTCCCAATTGCATAGTGTTAAATTATTATTGTTATGTAAAATAATGTGATTTATCTAAAAGCTGTTAAAAAACAGTCTAGAGTTTTAAATTGAAAATGTATTGATAAAGTGTAAATACTAAATCGTGAAAACATACTTATGGTTAAGTAGCTTACTGAGACGGCAAACGACAAAGAAAATGTAATTGACTCTCAGTAAACTTAAAATTAGCATACTTTATGTGCATCCACGGAACGATGGCAGAATATTCTCCAGTGAAGTTCTTGTCTATAGCAAAAAACCTTGGTGTTACTTAAAACAGTTTTACTAAATTTATGCACGTAAATTATGCCTTTTTACGTGATTTACGGCAGAAACACTTTAAGCTGACGTGGGCCCACGTACGATATGAAAGAAATATCAGAAGTTACCTACAGAAAATACCGTAAAAGCGAAGTACAGAGCACTAGGTCTCAAGCGTCAGACAGAGCGTCAGTATTTACTATAGGAACGTATGGAAGCGTATTTTTGCTGTCGCTAACGTCGATATCATTTCCACGCGGTCGCTCATAACTTCGCCAAGTAACTACATAATGTTACATATTGAGGGATCTTAAAGTCAAGTAGATACCGTTTTTAGGCCACTCTGCAAAGCCTCCTAAAATAGGTATGAGATTTTTAGAGCTAATTTATGTAATGATTGCATACAATACTTTTTCTACGAGTTAATTAAAATAATGAACGAACCAATATTTTAAAATATATTTTGTCAACAATCCACAACAACGACCTTAAACATGAACGAATTACTCAAAAGGAGTAGTCCAATCTCCATACTACAGATCGTAGCTCTAAAAAAGGTCAAAATTCAATTTTTATATCTAGATAGCGCTGGTTAATAGCCTGGAGCACCGACACTTATAAGAGAGACTTATTTGTCTCTGCAAAATCATTAGGTTTATAACAATAACCTTTGATGACAGGTCTTATTATTTTGTAATTATTTTTAGACAAATCAGAAAAAAAAGATTAACAAAGCGGTTGCCTCTAATCTTGCGTGGCATGGCATCAGTAAAGTCTGTTCTCAATTGTCACGCGATCTCCGAGTATACGTGGCGTCCCCCAACATCAGAGAAGACGTGTGCTACGTGTCTTAACACGTTATAACATGTGCCGTCACATCACGTCAGCCTAAATCGATTTGCGCCAGTATTTAATTAAATTGTTAGTTTTAAGTAATGGCTGTTCCAAACTGCAAAAGATACATATCATTATTATAGACTGCCAATATTTATTAAGCGATTCATAATTCTTTTTACTGTATTGTTGATTAATAATATAGTTAATTAGCAACTAATTATACACTATTGTATAAAAATCTTTCTATATACATGTTGTGTAATAATACAAATTAATTAGGATGGAGAAGAAATAAAGAGATGTGTGTTGTGGTAATGAACATTTTTTATTAAATTTACCGTACCCCTTGAAAACACCTGCACGTCCATTTTATTAATAATAATAACCCTTTTATGGGTGGAACACAAGCTACGAGACGCTGTAATGACTATTTAATGTATTGGTTCCAACAAGTAAAAAAGTAATACAAATTAAAAAAATATGATCTCAATCATTAATGTGACTTAGACTTGAAAAAGTAGTAATACAAATATATTTTTTTCACATTATCAATGCGACTGTATTATAAAATTAAAAGTCTTAGTAGATTCAGGCGTTACTTTGTAGCTGCGCTTGCGTTTAATGTTTTTTTCATAAAGTCAATTTTACCAACCTTTCTCCGCATAAAATTGATAAAATAAATAACACAAGCGCAACTACAGTCACAATGAAGTAAGACTATTAAAAATCCCGCCCGTCTACCAGGAGGTATTCTCAGGGATTTTTTATTGTTCAACCACAGAACATTACACGGAGTAAAAGTCAACGATATTGTGTGCTATTGGCGTACTATATGCGGCGTTCCATACACCACGGTCTAATCACTACGTACAGTACATTTTGTATGTCCAAGAAGATGAACGTCTTCAATCAATACATGGCGTTGGCGATGGCGTCTCCTGTTTTTGCCATACAATTTGTCCTTAATTTTTCAGGACCCGAAATATATTTCATAAAGGCAGTGTATTAACTTCAAAACACGTTTAAGTAAAAACAAGAAACGAGAGAGCCAGTAGAAAGCATGAATTTGGAGATATCTCGTTTCCACAAGCATGTAATGACGCGTGTTAAAACAAGACAAAACACAATATTACAGATGAACAAGCAACAGAGTGGTCTGACTATAGAATAACAAAGTATGTATAATAATATGAATAAAACAATTAGGTACTATGGTTACCATATAAATTTAAAAAATATAAATAAAGACTACGCTGGATGATCTAAAGAACTTTGCCTTTCCGTAAGGAAAAGTATACATATAAAGACGCATTTACACCAAGTTACCAGGCGACCTTTGCTTGTCCGCTGAGGGCGGCAAGCTACCCAGTGTAAACAGTGAGTCGTCAGACGACGGTAGTTTCAGTCATTCAAAGTCGACTGAAGCGACTGGATACGTCTCCTTCGGCAAAGCGAAGGCGGCATACGATTCAGTGTAGATGGCGACTCGACTGCGTAGCCTTCGGCAGGCGAAATATTCTGCCGAAGATCAGCAGACGACCCGATGTAAATGTGCCTAACATAACATCAGTAATTTCAAGGAGTCGACTGTATTTTTTTCTTTTACTTAATTTGTTTTTTCTTTTTAGTAATTAGTGTGTTCCATATTGTGTGCTTCGGTATTCCAAAAATACTACAAAAAATATCAGAACAAAAATAGGAATAACCTGCCACAGGTATGCGATTAATCTGTTTTGGTTTTGGTTCCGTATTATTATATAATGACGACAACACTATCTCCGTATTATCTTCCTGCCTAGTTCATTGCCAACGTGCCGTGTGCCAACAGTACGCGCAGTTCCACATATTTGAGCTCAGTCCGCCATTTTCGCTTACTACAGTCGGTGCCCTTACTTATGTATCCATTATTTGTATAGCACTCAGTACAAAAACAGTGGATACTTAAATGAGGGCATCGACTATAGGTACGTCATGGTCTTGTCAATCGTAGAAAATGGCATGTTTTGCTACTTTTGGAGTGCAAAAATGATAGTCGCACCCGGAATATTATCAGTTATGGTCTTAGTCTTAATTTATTTAATTTTAACACATTTAAAATTTTCTGTATAACGTCATAATTTCTTTTTGTTACAAGAAAGAAAGTAAACCTTATATCGCTGCAATATGGTCGTTCCTTCTATAATTTTCTAAGTAAACGTCTCGAATTTGTTGTCGTTCAGCTATTGACTGCTACGTAGCGGTACATTGATTAAAATTTTTATAAATACAATACGTCATGTCTAATTTGCATTTAGGTATTGAACTTTCAACGATATACCAACGGGTAAAGTTACAACAGTCCAGAATTTGTTACATTTCTGTGAAACTATGACCAATCATGATCAAGATTTTTTTTTTAAATAATTGTGAATTTGTGAGTTTTGGCGATAGCGGTTCTGGTTCTGATAGTAAGCGAGACTTATGGCACTTGCATTGAGGTGAGGTCCACAGAACGGGTCGTATTACAATGACTACATCCTCAACTAGATCGCAAAATGACCACCTCTGCTGAAATACTACAACTTACAATGACTTGGTGGCAATATCGATATGATCATTTCGTTAAATAGACCACGTGGTAAAACGACAAGGTACAGTTTATCAATAAGAGGATTATAATTTAGTTGGTAAAGTCGGCCGTAGTAGCCTAAAGAAGTAAAAATACAAATTATAAAAATTTTGTTTTTTTTTGTGGTAATTATATGTTGAACCAAACTGTAGGTACTTTGGTAAAACAATAACAAAATCTAATTATATCTTCTATCTTAACGTTTTATCATGTGGTCCATTTAATAATACGGTCATCTCGATATCTAGTCGTTTTGTTATCAAATCATTGTAATCTATATATAGTATTTCTGTAGAGGTGGTCGTTTTGCACCTAGTCCTTATGCTGATCGGGTCATGTTGAAGATATAATCATTTTGATACCGACCTCACAGAACGTGTTTTAATAATACAGGATATTAGCGTTTGCTTTTCTTAAATTTTCCGTAGTAATTTAACGCATCTACTATTATAAAATAAAATATCTAAAAATCTAATGTAATATTAAATAGACACGGGCTCATCACTTTACTTTTAGTCGATCAATCCGATTTTCATTGCCACAACAAAATCGAAAATCGCGACTCGAAATCGAGAATAGACCTTCTATGCTAGCTACATCACTAGCAGCTACTGTGCTCGTCCGTTAGTCGGCCGACGATGTTTGTCGTTCGTTTATTAATATTAATGTTTTTATACTATTCGTAGGTCTATTTAGTTAATGAAAACTGCATTTATTGTTACACCAAAGCTTGAAATGTTGCTTACATTACTTTTGAAGGCCTACTAGTGCAACGAACTTGAGAAATTCCAATTGTTTTGGTGCCATTCACCTATATTGATTTATCGTAAGCCAGTGACCCGTTTTCGTGTTTGTAGTGTGTATCTCGTAAATAATTAATCAAATCATTCGGAGAGGATTCATAAATCTGTACCGGTGGTTTTCAGTGTAATATTTAGTGAAAATATGTGCAACGAAATCAAAATGTTTGAGTCAAATAAAAGTTGCGAAAATTATTTCGGGTTTACGATTGTGACAAAATCTTAAAAGATTTAAAATTGTTGTTTCGTTATGGTGTTCTTGTTCCACGATGACGACGCCAATTGAGGAGAAGAAAGATGAAAAAGTTAGTACACTTTTACCTTATGAGAAATGAATTACCAATATACAATATAGCAAGCCTTGCAAGTGTAACATTGTTTTCCAAAGTTTTTATTTTATTATTTTTCAATAATATTATTCTCAATTCTACCTAAATACCATAAATTAACAAACCTAAGCTACACTGAGAAAAATTATCGAAAATATTTTATGTGGTTCTGATTCTTTTTATGAATTTGAATTTATTTATATTTTGTTGTTTAAGTTGTTTGATACCATAAGTTTGTACTTACCGTTGTATTGTTCACTAGCTTATAGTTGGATGTTCAATGATATAACGTGTCTGTGGATACACCATATTAACTGCATTTATTAGGCAGTGAGAGCCTAGATCGTTGAGAATATTTCCTTTCCGTGCAGAGATCTCTGATGATGCAAGTCCTTTGAATGAATAGTAAGAGAAAAATTTATGAGTAAAAGTGATGTAAGAAAGAGTTGAAAACTCTATTTTTTTCTGTTTGATAACAATCATGTTTAGTAGGTATTTGTGCTTAATTATTTGTGCAAAATGGAAAACTTGGTCAAAGTCAAGGTCCAATCCTCTTTATTTCATGATAAGCAAATTACACTTAAAATCGTCATACTGATTAAACTCCACTGCTCATTATTAAGCCAAACTCCCCTGAGAAGAATGAGCAAGAAACTCTAAGTTTTGCTCTTTATAAATATACATAGCCTTTATTGCTGATAACTTATAAACTAACTCACTTAACACAGAAACATTGCATGACATGCATACTTATTATATATGATTTATTTATTAAAACTCAAAGACTCGGTACCTTCAGCTTGTCCTAAGACATTGGCCTCTTCCAGAGATTACCGTTGCTGCCTGTCTTTTACTGTTTGCCTCCATGCTCCTCCAGCAACATGTTATTATTACAACATTTAATTTAAAAATCATAGATCGAGACTACCTACAAGAGCTAAACGGGACACAACCACGGATTTTTGTCATCAAGTACGCAGAAGCTGTATACCTATAGTATATAATTTTAAATATAGTGTATTTATAGGGTAAAAAAATTGTTATTGTGATTGGGCCGAGTTAAAATTAGTTTAAACAGAAAATTGGGGAAAGAGAAAAGTTGAATGGAATTTCATTGGTTGTTGTTATAGAGTGTACTAATGTATTGTATAAAAAACTAGGCCAGTCTAGCCGTTTAGGAGCTATGCTACAGACTCAGATACACAGACAAAGGTGTAAATCTTATAGCTCCCCATCTTTTTGTATCACAGGTTAAATTGTTGGTGTTAAAGGACTTCTGTTTGCAGATTCGCACAGGCATGGTGCAGGTGTCGGACGGAAAGTCGCGACCGCGACCCGCGCGGCTTGTGCTCACGATGGAAGCGGTGACCGTGCAACTAGAGATGCCCGTTCCCATTCAGCCACCCAAAGACAAGACCGTGCCACATGCTCGGGTTTGTTCCCTTAACTTTGATAAATATCTTTGGTTTTTTTATGATACCAATTAGTGATAGGATGTGCAAGTTGTTAAGCTCATAAGTGACACACTTGTCCATAACAGTTGCAGTGCCACCCAGACCCAGAGCTTTAAATCACACAGATCTGAGGGGCACTGCCACTGCGCCCGTCACCCTGAGACATAAGTTGGAAAGTCCCATGTGTCTGTAAATTGACCACCGCCCTTACCCTTCAAAACTGGAAAACAGAAATGCTCATGCTTACGCTCAGGTAAGGTGGCAGTGGCAGTACTTCCCTGGAATAACTCTTTCACAAGGAGCTCTACTGCTACTAAAATAATGTAGGGATCATATTTCGAGGCCTACACCCACCCACCATGGGTGATACAAGGGCTGAAATTAATGGAAAGAAATATCAAACTGAATATAACTGCCTCCGTGGCCGAACGGTTACCTAGGTGGACTGCCACGCAGAGGTCCTGGGTTCGATTCCCGGACCGGGAGAAATATATGTATGGCCTACATTTATTTGTCTTGTGAGTTTGGGTGTAATTTGTGGTTGTCTATGTGTGTGTCCTTGGTACCCGCGACACAAGGTTTCCTTAGTGCGGGGCTATATTGAGTGTGTGCGTTACTATTATTATTATTATTATTATAAATCTCCGGCCGCTGACAAAAGTTGTTGCATTGGATTGAACAAAAGGTTGTGTGTTCTGGGCACAATACTGAAGGGTAACAATAGAAGTAAGTAGTTCCACGACAACAGAAAAAAATCAATAAATAGAGGTGTGCGTGTTGTTATTCTCTGGTTAGTAGTGTAGGTTCTTTGATTTCTGGCATTTAAGACTTTGCTGTTTTTTTTTGCACCAGGAGCGTATGGTACAAATAACGCGTCAGAAGGTGGGCGGGCTGGGACTGAGCATCAAGGGCGGCGCCGAGCACAAGCTGCCCATCCTCATCTCCAAGATCTACAAGGACCAGGCTGCCGACCAGACGGGACAGCTATTTGTTGGAGATGCTGTCATTAAAGGTGAGCTGCGACCGTTGTGTATATAGTTTCATTATAAAATTAATTTTAGTACAATGAGTGTTATTCAGTGTCAATACGAAGACTGATTATTTACTTGATAAACTGTGTTTGCACTCTATCTGCAATCTTAGAAATTATCGCACACAGTGCTTCTTGTATTTAAAGAGCTGTAGGCGCAAAGTATGCATTCACGAACAATTATTTTAGCTAGTTAGCTATTTATTACCACAGGTACCTAATTGACGATAAGTACACTTACGGCCAATGGAACAGGGTCACTGCTGAATTCTGCAAGTGATATAGGTTGTACACACTCAACGCACACACTCAACATGGCCCCGCACTAGGGAAACCCTGTGTCGCGGGTGCCATGGACACACATAGACAACCACAAATGACACTCAAACTCACGAGAGAAATAAATGTAGGTCATACAAATATTTCTCCCGGCCCGGGAATCGAACCTACGACCTCTGCGTGGCAATAACCGACGGTAACCGTGGCGGTAACCGTTCGGCCACGGAGGCAGTTGTGATATAATTTATTAAAGAATAAAAATATATTTTAGTAAAATCAATATAACAGTACTTTATAGGGATAAAAATATACTGGTTTTCATAAGCTGAGCAACACTAGTATCGCATGTTACACTAGTTAGATGTGATAGGGATTCTTTAGATATAAATCTAGATACCAAAACAATAACAATTTTCGTAATTTCGTCTTTTTATTATCTTTCGACAAACAATGAATATTCCGACCAATTAGTAACGGGCGGAGGAGCTCTAAAGTTACGTTGTCGAAAATTTGGATTCTCAGCTGGACGGACTTTCGGAGTTGATGCAAATTATTCGTTCAAGTTAATTGAGGACTCTTGCCGGCACTTGCCACCATTTGTACAGGGCTGCTCTAAGTTCCTGTAACCGTTACTTATTTAACAGTCAATGCGAGTGGGGCCTTCTTTTATGAACGTTTACACTATCGTCACGTTTAACAGTGCTTCGAGGTGTGTATATGGCGACACGACTATTTTTATGTCAAAATAATCGTCCTTCTTTACGAATAAATGACAAACTTAATTACAACAAAACGTCATTTGTTGTAGGTATTCTGCCCTGCTAATTGTATTTATGTTAATAAACTTGTTGCACTATCTGCAATATCTAAATATTGCTTAGAGTATATTTCTCGCGTTTTTCTCCGAAACACTATTTTGCAAGTGCTGCATTTACAATTAGCAAGGCAGTATTGTGGGCTTAGGAACTAGTTTCTCCCTGGCTCCCTCTCTGCATTAGTCTGCATCTATTTGTTAGCGTTATTCTAGAATTATTCCAACAGGAAGCCATAAAGTTATGAATGTTTGTTTTAATAGGCAGCTGCATCTGATACACGATGAGTGATGCGCCGACGCAATGCAGTTATTTCAAGCGAGTAGCGTGTTTGTGTACTTTCGGTTGATTACATCAGATTAAGTTCTTAGATTAGAAGAGAATTTGTAGTCATGTTATGTTTGGCATTCTTTTCAAAGTTATATAATAACTAAATTAAATTTAGTTTAAAATATAAATAACTTTATTTAGTCTTGCGATTACCTATAGCTACTCATCGAAGTAATAAATACATATATATAATTCTTACAAGAAGTGACAAGACTGTCGGTTCAGATTTCAGAACAACGCAACAGAGTAGGCACATTTTATTGCCATAGGTATTGTGAAGTCCAAACGAATGACGAAAATTGAACTTTACAATATTTTACATTACTTTTACGATCATATTGGTTACTTATAATTATAGGCATTCACGCTTAATAACACGGGCGCATAAAATTAATAAATAATACATACTGGTTAGCGTATGTTATGGATACAAGGTGTGACCCGCTCGAGGGAATGCGCTTTAGTTTGATTTTCGGTGATATTGTTGTTCATAGTTTACTTATTGCTTTTTGCTGCACTTTTATTATAGGTACACATTATTTTATATGAGTCAAAACTACTTACTTCAAAATATAATTATCGACACAATAGCTTTTCGTGTTATAAGAACCAATTAACTTTGTTGTGAGAAGAAACCGTAATTTTGATACCGGTACTAGGGAATGGCTATCGATATTGATTTGAAACAAATGTATCAATACTTAACGTCCACGTTTGAGTTTGACGTAACTGCGTAGTCTTGAAGACTCAGTCTTGTTCTTGCTTAAATCTTGCAGGGTCGGTGTTGGTTTTGCTACATTTAGGTAACAGTAGTTCTGCTAGCTCTTTTAGCAATTGAAGCTCTGAGTGACAATGCGACTCGATTTGATAGACGTGTCATTACTTGGCGCACGACTTGTTCGTCCCTGAACAAAAGAGCACTGGAGGGGACAACACAAGAGGGGACTTACATGTGTGGACGTTGTATCCGTGTACGATTAGAAATGTAGTGATTGTGTTGATTTCAGTGAACGGCGAGTACATAACGGCATGCAAACACGATGACGCCGTGAATATACTGCGCAATGCCGGCGACATCGTGGTGCTCACGGTGAAACATTACCGCGCCGCCACACCGTTCCTTCAGAAGCAGGGTACGTTAGCACCAGCTATTTCTTAATGCATGGTTCAATGTTAGATTAGTCTCGCTATTGCCATAGATGTATGGACAATAAGGGGGCTATTGCAAATATAATATGGTGGCACTAGAGCTCCTTGTGGAAAGAGTTCGTCCAGGAAAGTACTGCCACCTCACATATTGCGGTAATGTGAGCATTACGGCTTTCCGGTTTTGAAGAGTAAGGGTGTTGGTGAAATTACAGGCACAAGGGACTTTTCAACTTATATCTCAGGATAGTTACCAATGCCTAAATTGATAAAACACTCTTAACATAATGCATTAAGAGTGTATTTTGCATTGCAAGCATTGGTTTAAGAATTACTCAAGTTTAGTACAAGTGGTCATAAGTGGCATTGCATCCACTAGGGTCAGGAGTGTCGCTGCTTGCCACTAGGCGCACGACTTGTCCGTCCCGTCACTTGGTGTTGCAATGTAGCATATTCTCGGGAGGCGGCCGGGACAAGCGCACTATCGTTTACCCATAGGAATTATCCAAGGTTTGTAACCAACAAGCAAACCAACACCAAGCTTTAACCAATTATTGTAGAACCGAACATTTATTGTTAAGAATAAACGTGTAAAGTGTAAAGTGTAAAGAATAAAATTTTACGTTCAGCAATAGTATAATCGTGAATTTCACATATTTTGAGTTACCACACTATTGTACTAGCAGTGCGATATCACATCCTCAATAACAAAGTGGCGACATTCCAAAAGTAACATTTCAGGAAATTGACAAAACAAATAACGTACCTACAACATAAAAGTAGGTAATACAGTGTTTCATATCAAATAGATTTTTATGATATTACGTATCCTGGTCACGTATGTTACTTTTTTATCTATTTTGTAACCCAAACTTACTTTTTGAAATTGCATCACTATACTATAAAAGTGCGTTGTTTATGTTTATGTGATATAAGGGAGTGTCTATTTATTATTAAAAGAGTATATGGGTTATGCTAACGAGTATAATATTTCATAGAAGGTAACTCTGAAATAGAATTGAAGTAAAAACCACATTGAAGTGAATCAAAGTTTTAATTACAACAAGAATAATGTTTTGTGCGAACGTAGGTAAAAGTAAGAATATAAAGCTCATTTTTCTCATAACAATAATTGCACGTTACAGTCGTAATACGACTGCATTGCGCATATTGTACCTGAGCGGCTTTGTTACTGCTTCGCGCTTCCGTTCTCTTTGTATCGTTTTATTTATGTTGGATAAAATGGTTCTATAAATGAGTACTTAGACGAGTCGTCGGTAAAAATTGATGCAAATTCTTGATGGTAATGAGTTAGCTCCGTTATCATATTTGAGAATGAACAGTAAATATTGCAATCAATTTTCTTTATAATTCTAAAATGTTTACTATAAAGTTTTAAAACTTGCTGGGCGAAATTATTTAACGCGGTAGCCTAATTTGGCTGAGATTGTGATTTTCGTTTTGCGATCGATATTCCGGCTAGCTTTTTTGCTCGTCATCCTTTTACCCTAAAGGCAACTGCGATCATTAATAGTAATTACAAGGCTTATATATTTTGCTTGACAGTCGGCTCCCTTTTATATTAGTAAACACAGTGTGACGACGATAAAATTCATCATCAACCCATTTATACGTCCCTCTGCCGAGCACGGACCTCCTCTTAAGCGAGGGTTTAGGCCATAGTCCACCACCTGAGAGTAAATCCGTGGCCAGTAGTGAGACGTATGAATGGGTTGATGACGACTGTTTCATAGTACATAGTTCATGGGTCACAGTATTTCTCACTGTCACATAACATTTTGAACCTGATTTGCTTAGAGCATATAGGACGAGAGGCGCTATTTACTTTATTTATCGAACAAAACTTTCTGCCACTTTTTGAGGGGCGAGGGGGTAGTACTACAAGCAAACAGGTGCACTCAAATGCAATATTGAATTGTGCCCATAGATTTAGTATATAGGTACCCATAGATTGGCAATGCAAGTGAAAGAGCGTTAGTATACACGTATGTTAGAGCGAGATGGGTAGACGAGACCACTTCATTATACGCTATGAGCCTGTATGAACCTAGGGTCAGCTGACAACGAAACAAATTCCGTTTATTTTTGAAAAATAATTGGCTTTAAAATGTGAAATAGTGTTAAACGGACGTTTATTAGTCATGGTAACGTGTCCAGTGCCCGGATGTAACTCATCTAAAAAGGAAAACTGGCAGAATTGTACATTCCACATGTAAGTACTATTTAAATTTTTAGCTTTCTAAAAGCACTACCACACAAGTTTTTTACATAAATATATCCGTAAAATTATATCATTCAAGTGCATTAATAACCCAAATGTATACGAATTCAATTAAAAAATATATCAAATACGTGAATTTCTGAAATTCATAACCCCACTTTCATAGAGATTGACGCAATCGATAATATGTTATCGAGATGTCAGTAACTGAAAAAAAGAAAGGCAAAGGCGTCGTTTGCATACAGCCGAAATCGTCTTCATACTTAATATTATTGAATTAAATATAAAGTACTAAAACCAGAAATTTCTTCTGGTTTTAGTACTTTATATTTAATTAATATTGTATTAGTGCATTATTTTGTTTCTACATTAAAACGAAAATTTCTTTTAATAGCGTAGTTGAGGCACCCATTTTTTTATGTTAATTATTGTTGTTGATTCAGATTTCCTCAAAACATTACGTTTACATTTTATTAAATTACGTACATTACAAGTACGACAGAAGTGGCTTATAATGCTAAAGAGAGATGACTGGGTTCACAATAAGTTTTCAAACATATGCAGCAAACACTTTGAGGAAAAATGCTTTTCCTTTAGAGGCAAGCAAAGAGTAAAGCTACGTTCTGGTTCTGTACCCACATTATTCATGCCAGTATGTCTAACAATTAATGGATTTTTGTGTAGTACTACTCTCGTCAACAACAAATCAGCGATTTGTTGTTGTTAGAGTTCAGTTTGTAGAGCCATAGTTATCTTGGATGAAAGTCCCCATTGTTTACCTACCATCTTATGGCCCTGCCAGAAGGTGATAGTAGCTTTCTTAATTTTGTATTGAATCATTAATTAATTAATTAATTAACGTCTCGGCGTTTTGCTATACGACATTTTGGTGAATACGACGAAGTGAAATACCGGTGTAATATGTTAATCGATATTAAAGTTAAATCAGTGGATGGCGCAACACTATTTATCTTGCACACATGCACATTATACGCACACAGATGTATTTTTGTTTTGGTCTCGTCTCCAATACTTCAGGGCCAATCTATGGATATACTAAATCTATGATTGTGCCACTAAAGTCTCACATAAACAAAAGTCGACAAGACTAGCTTATTTTTACAAATACACAGATAACACACACATTCATGTCATGTCCGTACAAAGAATAGGTCTATAAAAATAAATCGATTTTCATGAATATATTAGAGATGGAAAGTTATCGACGTGACGGTGTCGATATATATTACGTACTGGTTAATCATGTATATGAAAAATGCAATTCCACCCTTGGCTAGACTGGATGTAGAGGATTTCTTTTTGCAATTTTGGTGTAGTGTAACAGTGGTATTGTTTTACTTGTATTTGCCTGAAGAGATTGACAATTGACTTACCAATAAATGAACAATAAATACAATCCAAAGTCTAATCCAAAAACCGCGAAAAAATTTCCGGAGTTTTTTATTCAGTTCATGTTATATGTATATTTATAATGACAACCATGGCCGGAGTTAACCTATACAAACGTAGTGACGTGTATAGAAATATAAAAAAACTAAAACATTTAATTAATAAATTGAAAAGTCATTGCAGTATTGCATAATTTTGTTTACAACAATTTAAAGGCCCAAAAATTATACATATTCAGCTTCTACTGGAAATAAAAAAATATGGTGCATTTAACGTCTAGTGAAAACTACTTGAACACAAGAATGATGGAGTAGTCTTAATGTCAATATTAATTAATTTTATAGTATTATGTTGAATTTTATATGAGTTCACTTCAAGTAATAAGAGTTGTGCTATATGTAGGTAGGTACGTACAAATATAATAAATGCGAAAATAGCTGTTTCTCTTTGTTGGTAGTTGTGACGTGCTGTATGGAATGTATCCTGCCCTCGTAACAAAAAATCGATGTTTCGAATTTCTAGATTCCAACTAAACGCAAACTCAAAGTTTCATAATCTCGAAAACCGATTTATAATAAAACCGTTATGCTTTCAGGTGATTTTGATCGCTTATTGCAAAGAAAAGAAAAGATTAAGTTAGTTTGTTTTGTAATATTCCTAAAGTATTCTAAAAATACCTTTGGGATTACAAAAATTCGAGCAAACATTATTTCGGGCAAATGTATTTTCGGACTTCTGATTGATAACTCCAAACAGTAAAACGAATACAACAATACTTTGTTACTTATTTATTACTAACATCTAATAAAAAGTCATTTTAAAAATAAGATTAACATTAAATCAACTGTATAGTTTCTTTGTTCTTAATTTAAATATTTCAATCGCTTGTGGTTCGAAAATTGAAATTGACGGAACGGGTCTCTTTCTGTCTTTTGCGGTATGTCTTGTGTAGGATAAGGACAGTTAGCTATTTGGTTATTTTGATTACTTTTGTAATTTATGTAAATTGTATGTAAGTATGTACTCGTATATGTACATTTTATTTTTTTTCTTACAGTACGGCATGATTTATGATGATTTATATTAAAACAATTACAATTTATTTTCATTATTTATAATTTATTACATTATTATTTAATACACAATTCGACGTGGAAATCAATTTGAATAAATTTCGTTACATAATCTATCGATAAAAATTGGAGATAAAAAGCACGTTCGCTTCTCTATAACGAAAAACAAGCTTTCATGAAGTATTGCATTTTTTGTCTGTGGTTGCCTGTTAGTAATTAAGGAACTTTATAGGCATGCTTATGTCAAATGTTCGAATGTTTTCAAATATTTTCTATGTAATCGATAAATTTAATCAACGTGATCATTGTGAAAAAATGTGTTAAAATAGAAAACTAGTAATTAATGTAAAAAATAGACGTATGAATGGAATGTAATTCTATCCTTGGCTAGACTGGATGTAGTAGAGATTTTTTTACAAGTTTGTATGTCGCAAGGCGACATATTTCAAGGAGCACTTGACTCGGTGAACACAATAATGCAAATGAAAAAATATCGATTTGAAAGTAGTGTTTATTGTGCGATAGTCGTTTTGTTCTTGTACCTTGACAGAGGGGACTGCCTGTCAATGACGCCTCCAGTCCTATATGCTCTAAGGTGATTTGTAATAAAATCGTTTGCAGCGGACGGAGCGTCTGACACGGACAGCAGCACCGGCGACGACCACCCGTCGCTGCACAACAAGCCGGTGGACGCGAACTGCAACTCGGAGAGGAGCGCCGAGCCCGATCACCCGGCCACCAACGGCGGGTGGCAGGTAGGCGGCGGAACCAAGATGCTCCACAGTGGGCCCAAATTGATAATTCTTGGACATAGAAATAACTTGTGGAGTATCAAGCAAATTTTTTATTTGAGAGATAGTAACATTCCTAACAACTTTTATTCTTGTATAGTATCTTCAAAAGTTGATAGTTTCCGAGAATTTTTTTTTTGTATGAAGAAATGTACATTTTATTTTTTATCTCACAATATACGAAAATGTAATGTGCGTAAGTAACCCTTACAGTATAGTTGCAATCATTTTCTATGTAGAAAAAAATAATCCGTCTGCATGTACTTGCGGCTTTGTAAGTAAAGGTGCGGCAAAATTGCTAACTTTTTTATGTACTTTTTTAACAAAATATTTACATGAGCTACGACTAAAAACAAAATTAATTTTAGTGTAATTTAGAGAATATTGTAACAATAACACGAAAGTTAAGTAGAAACTAGTATATTGTGTTAAAAAATAAATAAGAAATCTGAAATTTTGCCACTTTTTTACTCGTAAAGCCGCAAGTACCTGCAGATGGATAACTTTTTTCTTGATAGAGAATGATTGGACCTATACTGTAAATAAACCACACATATTTCCTACATTTCGAGATAAAAAATAAAATGGTTATTTGTCCAAACCAAAAAACAAAAAGTGTTTTTTTTTAAACAATCAGTTTTTCAAGAAATCACATAAGAATAAAAGTTTTCAGGAATGTTATTATTTATCATATGAATAAAATCGGCGCTGTATTCCTAAAAGCTGATTAAAAAATGCCGGAAATAAAAAGTATAAATTTTAGGCTAAATTATTATTTAATCATGGGAACAATTTTAAAGGTACTCAAGTCACTCAAAGGCACTCAACGTCACTCAAAGCACTCGACGTCACTCAAAGGACCTCAACGTCACTTAACGGCACTCAAGACCCGCAAAGGCACTAAAAGGGCACTCAAAAGCACTCAAACGTCACTCAAAGACACTAAAAGGAACTAACGGCACTCAAACGCACTAAAAGGCAGTAAAAGCAACTAAAAGGCATCGAAAGGCACTCAGGCACTAAAAGGCACTCGAACGCATTCAGAGGCACTCAAGGGCACTCAAAGGCACTAGCGGGCACTCGTTGGCCCTCAAAGGCATTCGCGGGCACCTAATTTACTTAAAGACTTGAAAATATTTCTACTATATATGGTGGAGTCGCAAGCTTACATCTGAATCTGAGCAGATTGTTACATTACAGGCGAATGTTGCCGGTGAAGGAGGCTACCGACTGTTACAAGTGTTGCGCAGCGAATGCTTGGCTTACCTCCCTCACCGCCTGTAATGCTCGCTTTTGAACGTTATATTACTAGAACATGTTCGCGGTGAAGGCGCGCCCTAAAACTTGAACTTAATTAAAACTAAAATTTAATTATAAAGGACGTAAATATTTTAAAACAGTCGTTAAAATGTTAAAACGTGCTCCCGTGGAAAATCTACGAATTGACACGCACAATTTAAGTTCTACAAAACACTGACGATAATTATATTCTACTAGATAGATAGACTTGTACAAATCAGTATTTCCACTACGTAACATCTTATGCCACTTGGCTTCTTTTCATTATTTCGCACCCCCAATTATGAAGTGACGCAAACGAAAAAATAACATTCAGGAAATTAACAAAATATTTTTTTTTAAATTGACCATATAAATGCACATGGCATTTGGCTAGTACTAAATAGGCAAAAATCGATTTCGAACGGTAAATGATATACTGGTTTTATTTCGTGTTTCTTTTTAATATATATTTTGTTACTTTCCCAAAAATGATACTTTTCCAGTTACAACCTGATGTGATGGGGTTGCGATTTAGCAATTGTACGTAGAGAATGCCCCGAAATAAAATTTCCCCTTTAACTGCGAGGTGGCGTGGGAGGGCGACGAGATCAGCCGGCCGAGCAGCGCGGCGGGTTCCATACGCGGTTCCAGACCGTCCTCTGTGGCCTCCGACCGTCCCTTGTCGTTTGTGGGCGGAGAGGTCCTCAAGCAGTGGACTGATGTTGTTTCTGGTCAGTATTTCGAGGCGCAATTCACTTTCAATTATTACAAAGTGGCAGACAATCACTAGAGGTTTCCATGTACAACGGGAGTTTAGAGTAAATTTCGATTTAGAGACGTTCCTATGATAAATCGGTTACAAGCAGCCAATGTAAGGGCATGTACCTAAGCAGCAAGAGTTTTCGCTGGTGGTGAAAGAAAACATCGTGATGTTGAATGCTTAGAACCTTCACAAAACGGCAGGGGTGTGTGTGTGACGGATGGGTGCTGATGTTAAATTGGTGGCCAGATCTTATCTATCGACCGATTGGGTACTCCTCGGCTGCCAAGGTGTAGGTGAACAATAACGATTGCAACAAATGAAATATGGAAGTTGACAAAATTGAATACGTAGTGTAGGATATGGAATGATAAAGTTAAAGTGCGATTTGAAACGTTTTAGTGGCAAAGAAAAGCGGCTTTTCTGATTGAACCTTATCCCGTGACAGTTCTGGTTGTATTTGTAAAAGCTGTCTGTTCGTTCGCAGTGTATTAAATTTAGAATTAAGTCCAAACTCATGGTACCACGATTTCGTTTAACTAAGGTAAACTGTTCTTTTATGGGGAACTGTATGCGTTTTTACAATAAGGTTCCGGAGTGTGTGTTAAGATCGTCATTTCCTAAGTTTGAAACTTACATGAAAAGTATTTTAATTGAAAAGTCATGTTACAAAATTGAAGAGTATTTATTAGATAAAGATGTATGGAAAGACAATACGAGTCTCGATTCCGCACAATTATGATACAAAGCGCATTGAAGTTTTTTGAAACGAGCCATCAGTAAAAGCGACGTTTCGTAGTGTAAACAATTGGCCCGTGGGACAAATGATTGACTGGCGTCGACTTCGGCAGTGCCCCTCATGATGGGCTACGTGACGCGCTACGTGCACGGGACGGACAAGCTGCGGCCGGGCGCCTTCGAGGTGAGTGTCGGTCGCGGCGGCCGCAGCGCCAGTCGCAGCCGCGGCCGCGGCGCAGCCAGTGACGGCCGTTTGCGCAGGTGCGCGGCGCGCGGCCGCCCGCCAGCACCGGCGTGGTCCACGCCGACGACCCCGCGGCGCTCAGCCACTGGCTCAAGAGCATCTCCGACAACATCGTCGGCCTCACCAACCTGCAGGTCGGTCCGGCTCCCGACGACGAACGACGAACGAGGTTCGCGCCCGAGACGCTGGCTCCGGCCGCCGTTTCCGCGGGAGGAACGTTTCATTGTCACTTTTGAGCCAATGCCGCGTCTCGGTAAGGAATCGGCGTTCCGTCTGTCCGTCGCTAAATAGCTACGTGAGTTGCGGACTGTGGGACTGATAAATAATTCGTGATGTCAAACCTTTTTTTAATGCTAATTACAAAAATTCAACACCGAACAGAAACAGGAGCGAGCTAATGTAAGTCATAAAAAATAAAAATACTAAGGGTCGTATTCTAGAACTCTACTCAATGCTCAAGTCAGGATTGCACTGGAAATACAAGCACTGGAAATACGACCCTAATGGCAGGGACTTGAGTATGATTTCGAGTGCTTTAAACCATACTCAAATCCTGACTTGAGCATTGAGTAGAGTTCTAGAATACGACCCTAAGAGTCGTATTCCAGAACTCTACTCAACGCTCAAGTCAGAACACTGAGTATGATTTAAAGCACTAGAAATCATACTCGAGTCCTGACTCGAGCATTGAGTAGAGTTCTGGAATACGACCTTAAGAGCCCTATGCGCATGGCGTATTTTATACGAGCCGACGACGCGCGTTTACTGCACCGTACAGACGCAAAGAGCAGATTGTTGTGTTCATAACCACTCAAACGCGTGGAAGACGCGTGCGAGAAGCGCGTGTCTGTGTCGCGTCTTACGCGCGTTTGAACTAATTCGCAAACGTCGCGTTGCAAGCGAAAAACTTATATACTCCACTCAAATTTACTCTTAGGATTTCATATAGTTCCTCGCTTCATTTCAATAATCTCGTACAAAGTACTAAAAAACAGACCTCAAAAGTTACGCGGAAGTAATTACATCTATTTTCCAAATTTTATTGAAATCGATTACCGGAAAGTGCGTGAAACCAGATCCATACCTTAGTTTGCTACCCTTAGAGGTGAAATATTATCTTCAAATTTAAGTGGGACCACTACTAAGGTACCCTCTTTCCTACAAAAAATGATTTTACGCGCAACGCGTTTACGGCGCGATTAAATACACCATGTGCATAGGCTCTACGGAGTTTTCGGGGAGTTTTGCAACATGGCGTTAGCTCGCGTCTGTTTCTGTTCGCCGTGGAAGTTGTGCGTTAACAAAAGTTTGTGAAGAGACTGCAGCGAGCCCCGTGCGCAGATGAAGCTGCTGAACCGGCACCTGTCGGCGGGCGAGCGCATCGAGTACATGGGCTGGGTGCACGAGGGCGTGGTGTGCGGCGGGCAGCCCTACCAGCTGTACCGGCCCAAGTTCCTGGTGCTCAAGGGCACGGACGTCATGCTGTTCGACGAGCCGCCGGTAGGGGGGTGCGGGGCGCGTCTGGCTCCCGAAGGCGATACGTCCCCGAGGAGATCTTTTCTAGTGGCCTAAACGATTCAAATGTCGTATACGGCATCATTGCCACTCCTCGAAGCGACGAATTAGACTAGCCTTTCCAGCTACTGCATAAGATGCCGTTAAAAAACCGTAGTTGGTACTAGGAGTTTACTTCGTCACGTCGAGTACTCGTACTTCACTCAAACAAAACCTTTTTTATCGGATAGAATTAAAGTATAACAGGAATACGATTGCAAAATTAATCATTCGTTACATACGACATACTTAAGAAGCTTTATCTTAATAAAAGTTACTCTCTCACTAATGTAATAAAAAATATATATCAATTTTACTCATTTTTATGGACGGCTTACGTTTGACCAAAAAATTGACTATGCCGGAAATGTTTTCATAAAAAAGGACTAAACGGTTCCTAAGACAGGTTCCTTGTATCTCCTGTGGTTTCGGATTTCCCAAACAAAAACAAACTAAAAGATATTCTTTAAAACTAATATTTCCACCTTTTTTACCCGCATTAAATGGTAATAAAAGGATAATAAAATTTTCAATAAAATTTAAATGATAAGTAAAAAAATTCTAGTACGAAGATATTACTACAGTCTGAACTAACTTTTGAAAGCGTAACACAAAACAGTACAGAGTACTAATAATCTCAGTACAGAGTACTAAAAAAACCGACCTCAAAAGTACGTGGAATTACATCTATTTGCTAAGTTTTATTGAAATATCTTTAAATTCGCCACTGTACAGGACTTGATACTGGAGATAATAAAAATCGGTTCTCACTACTCCAACAATATTGAGAGAAAAACTTGAATTGGAGAAATAGAAAAATCAACCATTAAAATAATTGCTCCTTAAGAAAATTTAGGCACTACTTATAAAAATGAATCTTCATGCGTGAACAGTCACCCTTAGAGGTGGATGATTTTCTTCAAACTAAAAATGGGACTACAATGGAAGTACCCCCTTTCCAACAAAAAAAGAATCATGAAAATCGGTTCACAAATACCGGATCGCGTAACATACATACAAAAACAAAAAAAAACATTCAGTCGAATTGAGAACCTCCTCCTTTTTTGAAGTCGGTTAAAAAATCTACCTCAAAAGTCATTCATCCCCTAGTTTGTCACCCTTAGCGGTGGAATATTTTCTTCAAATTTAAACGGGACCACTTCTGAGGTACTCTCTTTCCAACAAAAAAGAATCAAAATAGCGGAGTTATCGCGTAACATACATACAAAAAAAAGAAGTCTGTTAAAAAACTAAATGATGTCTGTTAAATCTACCCTAAAATTATTGTTAGGAAAAGTAAGCGATAGTGCTTGATTTTTTGTTTAAGTGAAGTAGGCAGTGGAGGCATTCTTCGGAAAGCCGTAGTGGATGTTCCAATAAAGGCGCCCTTAGAGAAGATCGCGGGGACGCGTCGCGCACGGCCGATGCGAGCTGAGGGTCCGTCCGCAGGGCAGCGTGGCGGAGCTGGCCAAGTGCCCCGAGGTGCTGAAGGTGTACCAGACCATGTTCCGCACCGTGAAGGAGAGCGAGACGGTGGACTGGCGCCAGCACTGCTTCCTGGTGCAGAGCAGCGGCGGCGGGCCGGCGCTGGCGCAGCAGCCGCGCTACTTCAGCGCCGAGACGCGCCAGGACCTGCTGCGCGTGGAGCAGGCCTGGACGCACAACATCGTCAACTCCGTCATCCGCCTGGGGGTCAGTGCCGCACGACGCCGGTCTCTGTCTCGTCTAGGGCTGCGACGTTCAACTTCTAGTTCGAATCGAGGACGGTTGGGTTTCCGCCTTTTCTGCTGGAGCGCAGTTCGGACATACGCAATGCGTACACGTTTATTTACGCATTTAATCATTTCGTATTCATACATACATTACACAAACGGGGATGAACCGTCGCAAGACACTAAAACACTAGGGGCATTTCATGGGGCAACGTGTATTAAGAGGGCTAAATAAAGAATTAGGAACGAGACTACTAGAAAGCCGAAGTCGAAGACTGAGGATTTTCGGAGTCGAGGTTCGTAATTCTCGTACCGCCCGTCAAAACAGGACGTTTTTCATCACACTTGCACGTGAATAGTGTGATTGCATGCAGGACAATTTAAGTATAAAGCCTCAAATAAAACCCTCGGGCCTTTTTTCTTCTCATGACAAGTTGATCGGTAACGTGGAAGTGTGATGAGAAATATGCAAATTTGGGACTACTTGGTACTTGGTACTTGGTGTAACGGGCTGGTGTCCGCAACTCGACGACAAGGCGCCTATTTTGCGTGTGGAAATTTGGGACTATCTCAAATACACATCATACATGTAGTTCCTCGTAGCAGTGAACACCACAACACACATTTCAGCCATCATCATCGGCTGCGTGTATCGATTAAACGACTTTAGACGACACATAGTTAATCGTAATCACGGAGTAATACAAAGAACTCTGGCACTCGTTATCGTGAACCGGTCGTGCCATTTTACCGATAGTACACCTGCCGTGAAGAAACGAAGGAACCATCGCTAAGAAACGGTTCATACCCCTCGGGAAAAGAGCCACGTCTCCGAGCCGCGCCGGGGCACGGACCACGCCCCTCCGCGGACGGCAAAGCGTCGCGCTAGAGCCGCTCGCCGAGCCGCGCGGCGCCATCGAGGCGGCGCCGCAGCCGGGGGCTGGCGCGCAGGCTCGGCGCTAGCTGCCGGTGGCTGAGCCTGCGGGGCGTCACGCGCCGGTCACGCGCCGGTCACGCGCCGGCCACGCGCGGCCGCCGGACGGGACCTACTTGTATATCTCCGTGATCTCGAGCGCGACCACGGTGGTCGGCCGCGGCGCCCCCGGGTGCAGCAAGCCGCGTTCTCCGAAGTACGCGCCGTCGGTCAGGTGCGCGACCTACAACGAATTCGAAAAACGTTCAAGCGTTTTCACATGGAGGTCCGACTGCTAGTGGCCGATACTTTAGCGGCTTTCTGGAACATTGGCAGCCAAAATTTATTTTATTCAAATTAATTTTCCTGTTGGTAACGGCACCACTGCACGATAAATTGCAATGAACGATACACCCGGGTTCTTTACCTCTTTCGCGTAAGCGTTTAGGACGACGACCGTGCCAGACGCGAGCAAATATAAACAATTGCCGGGTTTTCCGCATTTCATCACCACCTGAAATAAACTAACGTGAACAATGTTATGGTAAGAACCAAAAAACCATGTCTTGCTAAAATTACATAGCATACTTGCCCCGGTCGATTAAACTGTAAAATACGTAAACCGATGTAATGGGTGCACAAAAAAATGCTTCACAATTGAAAGGCCGGCGGCGATTCCAGTCTCTGTGGCAGCGTGTACAGCCAAAGTCATACCAAACTCGACACTTTGATCTCGGACCGTTCATATCGTAAGCAACATAAAAGTTGAATTTAATTCCTAAGTGGCTAAGCTAGACATGCTTTTGAACCTACGACTTTAATTTTTGAAGTTACGTTTGTAAATATTCAGCAGCAATATCTCTTGCTAAACGATGATGAAATGTGCACGCCGCGTGTCCGTCTCCAATCTAATATAACAATACCGTTGGTTGGTATAACATTAAGTTATTAAATTTCTTAGACAAACCGACTGAATCTAGCAACTTCTATAATTACAACTTCTATTTCTGTACCCTACATGAAAAGTGTATTAACTCGACTTATATCAAAATTCGTTTTATTAACTAAAATTTGATTTCAGTACTAACAACTGTTAAAATAAGAACGAAGAATACGATAACGCAATCAGTAAAAATTAGTACGCCGTAACATTCACAATTCAGACATTTGTGGCAAACGTTTGCCTATTTTCACAATCTATCGATAAAACTGAACTATTTAAAATTTTACGAAAACTGGCAACCATGCAAACCTTATTCTACTCTATCTCCAAAAAAGACAGACTATGGGTACACGCATATTATACTCAATTTCGTATGTCACACTTAAATTCCAAGTGTAAAGAAATACAACTTCAATTGTATTATTTAAAACATTGAGTATCTTTCATCGTTCCATGCGATTGGGAGTGCAATCAGTACTCGTAATCGAATATGTATTGCAATCATGTTATGACACACAGAATAATGAAAATAAATGACATTATTATTCTCGAAGTCATCAACGCGCTTTCATAGTAAAATGATGCAAGAAATCCCTAACACAAGCATATTTTAAGGTGTCAAATGATGCAATTAGCTTTTACGTTTTCCTGTTGATAATGTGTAAAGTTAAATGCAATTATTGATGAACCAAGCTACGGACATCAAAATTTAGCTCTAATAGCTTCCAAAATTATAAACTTTCAAATCCATTTTTCTAAAAACACATATTCTTACTTTACCCACTTTTCGCGAAAGGTACAGCATTGTTGTTACGATAAAACAAAATAAAAATAAAGAAAATAAACTCGCCTCCCCAGGCATGTACAGCACTTTGGTCAAACTAAATATAATCGTATTAATGAACGCCAGCGGCATATCTTTAAACAAAGGCACGTTCGTGACCAGCTTCTTGCACGAGAACATGTTGATCTCCTGCCTGATCTGCTCGTTTATCGTCTCCATAATGGCGTCCTCGTTGAACAAATGTCCACTGTACTTGTAGTCCACGTACAGTTTGATTTTGTCACGCAGGGTAGCGGAAATACTCGTGTGCATCTTGAGATACGTCTGGAGCTCTTTAAGCCGTCCGTTGTACACGTTGCTCTCCGATTGATGGTAAAATAATAAGCGGAACACCGCTGAAAATGTTTCAAAGACAAAAAGTGCATTTCTGCGTATTGTAATATAGCGGTGGTCTGCAACAATCTGCTACACTGCATTTAAACTAACTGTCGTGTAACTTGCCGTGTAAAGGACGCCTCAAATTGTCGCATCCAGGCGACGCGATGCTGCCATGTATTCAAAACGAACCATGCAACATAAACTTTAGCTTCTACTTGATAAGGTTCCATTTCTTTAAACAAAAAATAAAAAAGAAGATGCAGCCTGCGGCGCCGAATGCCTCCCAACTATTATAACCTTTACGTGTGCAATCTAGGAATTGCTTCAACATTACAACTCATTGATAAAGCGCATTCCTCCTGTGCGAGCTGCTTGTCTCCTACAGTAACATGTCAGAATATGTCTGCGATGATACGTGATATCAGCGAGATGATGCAGGGAGATGTCCAAGATGCTGTAGAACTAATACTCGACCTCACCAAAGTAACTTTTTATTGTACTAAAAATTATAATTCTATATTTTGCCGTGCCCAATGTAGGGCGCGACGTTGCACATTGTCACTTGCAAAATAATGTACGTTGACCCGAACACCTCCGAAACAAAAATCACTTCATTTTGTAGAAGTTAAGTTCTATATTGCATTGCTATCTCCCAAATATATCTTATTGTGAGAAACAAAGTTACAATTTGCATTGCCCGTGGTTGCACAAGCCGCCCACGAGAAGATTTGCCGCCCTACGACGCGTGACGCAGCGTGGTTTTACACTTCTATTATTTTGAATTTAAAGAAACGTAACCTTATCTCGTAGAAGATAAAAGTTTATGATGCATGGCCAATTTTAATGCATCGCTGCATCGCGTCGCCTGGCTACGACAATTTGAGGCGACCCTCACACAAGCTGGTGACGCTATAAGTGACGTCTTACCAGTAAAAGCATACGCCATGAACAACAATCCAATAATTCCAATAAACGAGGTCACGATCATCTCTGGTATCACATCTATTTCAATCGCCGAATATCCAACACAAAGTCCACAGACATGGTACAAATTCCTCAAGTATTTCTCCAGTTGGGTTGTTTGCGAAACCGGTTTTACTTCTAGCCGCTGGTACCATTTTAGGTAGTCATTCGGGAACAAGTGAGCGTAAAACGTCGGTACTTGAAAGTTTAAGTAGGTTACCCAGTGGAAGAAAACGAGAGTCATAAATACGAGTGATATGGACACGGAGCGGATGTAGGAAGGCTCAAATTGCTGGAGGAGACTGTTCCACGCGCGGGCGGTCGCTCGCAGCCTGAACAGCTTGAAGATGAGCCACGACGTTCGCGTCGGGTGCTCGCAGTGGACCGAGTCGTCCGTTATTTGGATCAGCTGTAAGTACGAATAGTCTGAATATGACGCAGTTGATGCGAGGCTTACTTTCTGCTGACGAACTCTTCTGACGAAAACTTCAAGCCTACGTTACGGGGGCTTAGACAAAAAGGCCCTGTTGAACCGTGTTGCTAACCCATTGGCCGCATACGCATTGTCGTCATACAAATTATCTATGTTAGTCTCACGGAGATACAAAATATTTTCGATGTATACCTGCAAAGGTAGAGCGCCGATAAGATCCACGCAGAAATCTGACCGAAGGTATCTAAGGGCGATTTTGCGAGGATTCAAAATGACCGTCTTGCAGTCCTCACTGATTCGACCCGTCAGGAAGTTCACTATTATCTCGCTGAACGCCGTCAGGTCGCTGAACAGCACGAACTTGTCGTATATATCAGGACCTGCAGTCATTCTCAGGCAATCATTATGAATTAGTAGCAGTAGAGCTCGTTGCGAAAGAGTCCGTCCAGTGAAATACTGCGGCCTTACCTATTTCTGCCGTCAAGCAATAATGTGAGCATTACTGCGTTCCGGTTTTGAAAGGTAAGGATGCTGGTCAAAGTACAGGCACATGAGTCTTGTCAACTTGTGTCTCAGGGTGACGAGTGTAGTGGCAGTGCTTCACAGGCCTTTGCGATTTAATTGTAACTGTTATGGACAGGCGTGTTGCTTACTTTCAGGCGCACGATTTGTACGTACTGACAATAAAAGATTAAAACAAATAAGTAGTAATTGTGTAATATTCAAAGTATTATGTACCAGACATTGTTACATTATGCACTTAATAGGGAATCCTGTTTAAAGGAGTAATCTGGTGTATGAAAATTTACTTTATTGTGTTGGACACCGAAGCTTATCTTAATTGAATTCTTTTTTGCTTTTACCATAATGTTACGTAGGTTAGAAAAGGTTTAAAGTTAAGTCAACAGGGCATTGTGGATCGTGAAAGGCATTGGAAATTATATTTACAGAGAGAGAGAGAGAGAGGAGGTTTTGTTAATAATTTTTTCGTTTGTTTGAAAGTCTCATGCATTTAAATAAAATTTAGTTTTTTAAGATGGTTGTACGGGGAATGGCATCTGGGGTTTCTAACATAAAGTCTACAGAGTTTAACGAGGCCAACGACGTAGAACGTAAAATACGTACACATACTCACAATACATGAACACGAGCAGCGGCATGTAGAAGAAAGCAATGCAGAATACGACGAGCTTGTAGCACTCCCAGTAGAACTTGAGAGGGGAGTAGGGGTGCCAGATGTACCAGTAGCCCGACGCGATCTGTGACGGTTTATACAATATTGGCGACAATCGGACCCCTTTCAGTTCAATTGATAGGTCATATTTTGTTGCTTTTTCATTTTCACGGGGGTAGTTGTTGCGTAACGTCGCGCATTCCTAATTTGGCCGCAGAAAGCTCGGCTCGATTATATAACGTAGCATAAAACAGGAATGTGTAGGACCAAATTATGGACGTCCCGCGCGAAAGGCGCCGCGACG